ATGTGAATGACACTGCCATGATCACTTTTATGTGGGAACAAATCAGGAATTGAGAGGTGGAGATGCGACTATTAGACAACGGGGATAGTTCGATGGGGTAGTTTTGTGGGAGTTACTTTTGCATAAATAAATTATGTTAGTATGTTTTGAGGTTCAGCAAATAAATCGAGATTTCAGTCTATATTACAATTACGAGTAATATAATGTAATATAGATATTGTTATTTACTTATTTACTATTTTGTGAAGATATCATTATAATAATGATTTCTATGATCCTTATAGTAATTTATAATGTTTCATTATACATATTATTACTTTTTATATTTTACCAAATATTTTAACATTTTTTTTAAATGCAAAATAAGTTTCTTCTAAATTTAAATAATCTTTTATAAAAAATTGACAAAAAATAATTAATTTTTTAATAATGGTAACTTAAATGAGATACGATTTTTTTTAAAACTACTAAAAAAACATTTTGTTAACTATTTGTGGTTTTATTGATCCTGTTAATACATAATTTTTTGACATAAGAAATGTCTATATGTAAATATTATATGGATTTACACCACACACGCAAAAAAACACATTAAAATAATTAAATACGATGTGATTATTTTGTGTTAATTTTTGTACTAACAAAATTATTTATTCATATAAAATGTTACTTAATATGAGTCGATATTTATAATTTAACTTTTATTATATTAGTCCACTCTAACAAGAGCTCGCTTAATAACAAAGTCCGACTAATTAGTTGTTTTACTTAAAAAAATAAAATTATTGGGCAATTAAATTTAAAATTATTTTTATTAACATTGACTTTAAAGAAACCAAAGTCAAAAGCTCATTAATTATTTCAGTAAGTCCCAAAACTCTTTGAAAAGATGATTTCCTCTGTGTCAAAGTCAAAATATAGAAACAGATGATTATCAGGAAGAAGGATTAAAATATCCAAATAATGTACTCTCTCTCTCTCTCTCTATATATATATAGAGAGAGAGAGAAAGCAGCAGCAGCCCTTTTGTCTCTTCAAGCACTAGAACAAACATTTTCCAGAAAACAAAGATGAAATAAACAGCTTCACATTGGCCTCATAAACCACACCTAATGAACAAACTTTAAGCCTGGCTAGCTTATTACAAGGAAATACTAGTAAGTCGCATGCATAGATGCATCAATCAATCTGTTTTGAAGTGTTTTTCAATTGTTCCGAGAAGAGTGGAATTAATATAATCTTGTGTACCATGTGCCGGTAAGCCTGGGATTACTAAACCAAATAACCTAAATGCAAAGAGAAACCATCCTTCTTTATAGAGAGGTCCATTTTTGGCGGCAATGTTGAAGCTCCTTATTACTTCAAAAACAGCATTGAGTATCATTGGTATCACGCACCATGGCGAGAAATAGTTCTTATTTGGCTCTTCTTCCAGAATCTGCAATACTCAAACATCTTATTAATTTTCAGTTCGCAAGGGTCAAGCTGGTATTCGGATTCATGCATATTATATATTAAACCTTTTTACAATCCAAATAAAAATTTGTGTTAGTAGCTCAAATGATTTTTTAACCATGATGATCAGGTTAAATAACAATGTACAAGACAGAAAAGAATGAATGGTAAGTTTTTTCTACTTACAAATACAAAAAGGATTGCTATACAATAGCCTTTCTAATTTTCTTGGGCCCAAAACGCTTTCATTTGATTCTTTTGGTATTTTTGGTCAATGATTGTGTTTGCTAACTTTTCTTTTTGAAAAATACTGATAAGAAGTTGAACTTATAATGAAATATAATTGTGAAAGGAAAAAGGACGTACCCTGAGTTCATAGCTCCTGTTAAAGAAAAGGCAGACCCCAAAGTGTTTGAAGAGCAAATCCTTATCATCGTAGGGCAACCTCGGAACTATATCATTGCAATAAACAAACCTGCAATAACTAATAGAATTCTCCCTCAATTTTTGTCTCATGAAGTCTGCGTATACTTCATCTCCAACTCTAGGTTGCCCAAAAGTGTAAATCCCTTCCAACCTCTCCATCAGTAACTTCTCATTGTGCAAGAACATGATCGTAGGGTACAGAATTGCGAGTGCTCCTCCCAAACTATGACCTGTAACAATGAACTTTGCATTGGGATTTTCACTCAGACCTTTCCTTAGAATGTCTCTGATAACATAGTAGGCCAACGGGGGAAGATTTTCATCCCTTTGAATCTCCTTAGGCCAACCCACGTTTCTTTGTAGCCCTAAGGCTTTCATAAACCCACCATGCATTTGTCCAATGCCGGGAATCGAATACCATGAGATGTCAAGGTCAGTGCACCATGCATCTGCATCAAAGGGTTCCGTTCCTCGGAAAGCCACCACGTAAGTATCGCGCTCCTCATGCTTGTCCAAAAGAACCAACACTTGGGTTGTGGCCTTTCCTTGAAAATCTGGCAAGTGCAATGCAACCAAGGGTTGAATACAGAAGTTTAGTTAACATTAAATTGTGTTTAAAGATCTGTCAATTTTCAATTAAAAATTTGGTATTAGTTCCCATATGATATTTTTCTTGTCCAGTACTCTAGCAAATTATATTGTACAGATGAAATGAAACAGTAAGTAAATTCATTAATTTATTTTGTCCGAGAATAACATATTCTATTGGTTTTTCTCAACAACTTTGAATCTCCTTCGTATACCACGCTAGAATATTCTAATGAAGATGGTAATTTTTGTCATTTATGACTGATTATATATATTTTTTAATATAGAAGTTAAAATAATCTTTAATGAAATTTTGAGAGATTTAAAAAACATTGTCCACCAATTAATTATTCTTCCACACAAGCTTTGTAAAGAGTGCTGAGAACTGACATGGTTCACTTTCTTAACTATTTATTAGAGTAAGTAAAACTATTACTCCCATATATTTATTAATGATAATAGGAAAATTTATTTAATATTCTTTGTTTATGACCCAAGTAGTACGATGAGACATGCAGATGAGATTGCTTATGAGTTCTTACCATTCCAGCAGTCAAAAAATCCCACGAATTCCATCTGTAAGAGAGCACAAAGCCAAACAGAATTGATAAGGGATACATCTTGAAGAGGAGAAGACATAGAATGTGGAAAAGGTAATTTGTTTACCTTCCACTGATCTTTTACCAGAGCTTCAAGGTAAGCTGCATTCTCGTAGGATGCTTTTGAAGCCATCATAGCTAATGAAACATAGTACCTGCAGTCGTCTCGCTTAATAGCATCCAACTTTACACGCGCATCCAAATTTCCGATACAAGACAAATAATTTGGGGCGTTACGATCCGGGACGACCAAGTGACCTGTTTTGTTTATATTAATCGATCAGATTAGATCCTTACGTATCTTTCGACAAATAGTAGAACCAACCATATAAAGACATCATTTTTAACTCAAAACCTTAAAGTAATAAGTTATAACTCTTTCTCTTAATCTTCCTTATAACTCTTTATCTTAATCTCCTTACGATATTCAATTTTTCTATTTCTATCTAATATAAAACTTTGAATTCTTAACAAATAATTCATAATATATATATTAAATAAATTATTATTATGATTATTAAAAGCACGTAACATTTATGTGCACATTTTTTATATTATTCCTTTTTAAAATAATTATTTTTTAAAATTATTTTATTTCTGTAATATATATCATTTTTTTATACGTGTTACTAGTGTTTTTTTTTACTCTCCTGTCTTTCACTCTAAATACATAATATTATTATATTCTTTATTTTTATCCCTTTATTAATATATTATAAAACCAATAATTATAAAAAATTGACGAAAATGGCTTAAAAATGAAAATTTATTTCATATATAATATAAATTACATATGAAAATGAAAAAAAAAACAATAGAAGTAACTTCCCATAATTGAAGATGGACTTGATAGCGTGGGAAATTTATTATTGTATTTTACTTTAAATAATTATTTTCACACAATTTTCACTATTTAAAGAATAATATTTGTGTGGTTCCCCCATTTTTTTTTTATGTATTTTGAAGAAAAAAAAATTACCAAACAACTCATCTTCTTTAACTTGCTTATTTTTATTTCTTCACATAATGTCAAACGGCCCACCTATTGCCGGGTCCATCCATCCAAATTCTTCCCAATGAGAGTGAGACACGTTCCTATCCAACCAAACCCTTCATATAAATAGGATTTTTAAAATATCGTTGGATTTTGACGGAAATTTTTTTTAACTGAGAAATTTATTGAATTCGAATTTAATCTGAATTGTTTAAAATATCTAAGATAAGGTTATATCAACTTAAATAATTAAATATAATATTTAAATCATAACGTAAAAAAAAATATTATGAGAAATCAGAACGAGTCATGAAGATGAATGAGAACAGGAATAAGATAAGAAGAATCTAAACGACCGAGGAACAAAAAAACTTTTGTAAAAAGCACTTTGGACTATTTACTTAGCATGAAGAAAAACGATACATGGATGCAGATTTCGTCCCAAATTTTCAAAAAAGGAAAAAACTAGTATAATTCTTAGCTTTGCCTATAAAACAGTGGATGAAGCAGATGGATCTCATGTAACAAGCTAAAAAACACAAGCAAGTGTAAAATTAAGCAAAGCCTCGGATCTATGGAAGAAACAATCCAATAAATTAATTACCTGTGAGGAACTTAACGATGATCATGAGGAAGCCACCGTTGAGGAAAACGAGGTTGATGAGGAACTCGACCATAGAGCCGAATAACGCAAGTGGCTTTGCGATGAGCAAGAGAAACTTCTGGAGCAAGATAGAGACGACTATAAGCCATCTATGGCGGAAGCTTCCGTCGTAAGCTCCGGCGGCGTTGCTGTCCACAAATTTTCTGTTTCCCAAGTTACCGGAATATAGCACATGAAGAAGATCCAAGAAATAAGCGTCTTCAGGTTTAAGCAACATGTAACTGTCCGCGAAACTCTTGTTGCAGTTGCAATCGCCATTGCGTTTCGACGCCATGCCTAACCACTCCGCGCAGAAGAGAAAGGGACAAGGTGATGAAGTTTCGGGTCCTTTTGTGATTATATATAGTGTGATTTTAAATAATTTTTGTATTTTTATTTTTCAAAACAAAACTAATTAGATAATATAACTGTTTTAAGAAATTAATTTTCTTTATTCTTTCTCTCTTTCTTTTTACATAATCAAAATAATTATTATAGTTTTGTAGATAAATATTATTATCAATAATTACGAATTTGCATATCATTAAAGAATATTATATTTTAATATATGTACAGGCAGCATTTATGCGAGAAAATAAAAGTTTTTAAAATGATTTAAAAAAATAGAAATTTGTAAACAAATAACTTTCTTTATATAGAAACTATATCTTATCTCTTGGCCTCTTTTTTATTTTATATATAAACTATCTTATCTTTTTATAATCTGTCTCTATTAATTATTATCTTCCAAATAATATAATTAATGGTTACAAGGTATTGTGTGTTCTGCTAGTGCTTGCCTCCACCAAACTGTGATGAAACAGGACAGCAGAGTGGGGATAATGGGAACACTGACAAGATTAACAATGTGATCTGAAAAGAAAGTAAACTGCAAGAAGACGCACCCTAACATCCTACAAACTTTCTTTTTAAGCGTATGTTTGGATTGGGAACACGATTACTGCATATTTGAAAGAAAGTTAATCTTTCGTGGTAAAAAAATTCTTAGAGAAAAGTCGTGAAAAGTTTATATAAATAATAATAATTATTTCATAATAAAATTATAATAATTATAATTATATTAATAATTAAAAAAAGTTAAATAATTATTACATTTTAAATTATATTAATAATAATAATAATTTATATTTAATTATAATTTAATTATTTTTAAAATTTTATCATTTATATCAACCAAATCATTTACAAATGCTTATAAACTTTATTTTTATTTCTTTACATTTCTTATCAAAATTAAAATCATTTAATTGAAATATATATTAATTAGTATATGCTGTTAATGATTTAACTATTAGGAAAAATTCGTCCATGTATTTTCACTCGTAATTAATTATTAAATAAAATTTAATTAAATTATTTTTTTTCTTCTAAATTCACTATTTGGTTGAAATGTCTCTTTTTTATGATTTCTATTTAATTACGTATATTTGAAAGTTTAGAGGATCATCTCTGTATCTTATTAAAAATAAAGAGGGGAGATTGATGATAATGTGAAATATCTCTTTACATTCTCAATAGATGATTTTGATGATAATTCAAGTCTAACTATATTCAAGAATCAAGCAAGTCCAATATATGATTTTGATATAGATTCTATTTAAGATTGAAGCAAGTCCAATATGATTTTTGAAGACTAGATAGAGTTTTAGAATACTGGATATGGAGGTACAAGTTGATGAAGTAATATTATGCATAAGCCTCCAGAGCACAAGTGCTATAATTAATTATGATGCATCGAAATGGAAAAATGATTTTTTCTGTCATAATTGATTATACTCGTAACATAATGATGATGACAGTTTAAATTTGACAAATATCCGTTTTGAAGAATAGATATTTTTAAATATATCCCGATTTTTATCAACGGAAAATATTAATGTCTAACGACCATTTTCTGATGCTATTTTTCTATTTAATTAAGTTTTAATGAAAAATAAAAAACACACAATTACAGAGTTTGAAAATACAATTTGCATTCAATCAATTTTGAGAAAAGAATTTTGAGCAAGACAATAGAGATATTTTACATGTTTTAAGAAAATCATCTTCTCCAATGTCACAAAGATATTTTACCAAAATTCTCTTTTCCATTGCCTACTATGCTTTCATTATTAATCACATTTGTTCTTTGAGGTTGATATTTTACAGGTTTTTACAATTTGTTGTCTCCATTACCCAGGTGTGACTATTATTATTTTATTACTTTCATCATTTGTTAAGTGTGTGATTGTCATTACCCAAGTGTGACTGTTCTTATTTTATTACATTCATCCTTTGTGGGCTTAAGTGGTTGATTGTTAAATTTCCTGTCTAGGATTTAAGTAGTCACTGTCAATCTGTTGTGTGTTTTTTTTTTTGGGTTTCCTGTGTAGAAACTGTTCATCCTTTTTATTTGTTCAGGAAAGTGTTTTCATCATTTGATTTGTTTAGATGAGGTGTTCATCTCTAATGGAATTCTAGGGAAGTGTTTATCCTTAGTAGGATTCTAAGGAGGTGTGTTCGTCATTTGATTTGTTCAAATGAGGTGTTCATCCCTAGTGAGATTTTAGGGAGGTGTTCATTCTTAGTGAGTTTCTAAGGAGGTGATTGTCTTCTGAATTAGTTTACTTTTAGCTTAGTTGGTTCTAATTTGTGAACTGAATTTAAAAGATAGTGAATTGGGGCCACTCTTGTGTTAAGAGTTGACTAGGAACTAGATATAGGGTTGACTATACCCGAACCAGTATAAATCACTGTGTGCTCTTCTTTTTCCCTTATCATTTTTCACTACATTATTCTCCTTACCCCTTTATTTTTATCTCTATCTTTCTTTATCTTGTTGATATTTTATCTCTTTGATTATATCGCTTCCGTTTTATCTTTATTTAATTTGATAATTAAAATTGAATTAATAAATATTTGACATCTTAAAATAAATTTTTAATTTGACATTTATTTTAATTTGTGCATCTATTCAGCCCGTCTAGATGTAATTTTTGTAACACTCATGTCAATTTTATAATAAGTTTTGTTGCCCACACTTAATGAATTACAGGCCAAAAATATAATGAATTATATTGCTACTCTTGAGAAACATGTAGGCCTTGTTAAACTTGTATAATCAATTGTGAACAATTCATAATTAATTATATAACTTCATTCAACATAAGATTAAATTTAAAAACAATATTCAAGTGACTATGTTAACTGAATTTTGTCTATTGAAAAAAAAAAAAAATATATATATATATATATATATATATAATAATTTAATATTTATCACTTTTTCTTTCACACTAAATGCATGTATCTCTGCGTCTTTCACTTAGCTGTTTTCTATCTTTTTATTCATTTTCTCTTGAAACAAATAATATCACATTTTATCTAATTTTTTATTAATCTCTATTATTTTTAAAATTGTCCACTCTCAGTATTTCTTTCATTAAAAAAAAAACTAAAAAACATAAATAAAAAGTATAAACATTTTTAAGACATCCAAAAAAAAGTTTAATTTGACATGAACAAAATTTAAAAAGAATAAAATTAATATGAATATGTGAAAATAAAATATAATTAAATAAATTTTATAATTAAATAAAAATTATAATAAGATAAATAAATATATAAACATGGATGAGATTCTTTTTTCTTTTTTCATTTTTATATCTTATTAAGCAGTCAAATTTACTTTGATCTCTCATTTTCACCTTATATTATAGTGTAAGACTTTTTTTTATAATATCTATAATTATATATGAAGAACATTTTTTTATAATTGTTATTTTGGTATTATCAGAAAAAGGAAAATAAAATATTATAATTTAAAGAAATTTAATTATTATAATTTATACACATAAACAAAATTAAAAAAATGAAAATTTAAAAATTTGAAGATATAAACTTATATTTTTTGTTATTATTATTATACAAATTTTAAAATGGTAAACATATATAAGCACGCGCTTTGTGGGACGTGGTATTAATGACATCAATTTTGTAAAGTACAGCAGTCAGAAAGAAACATGTGGAAGACCAATGAATAACAAAAAGGGTTAAAAAAAACGTTGATAAATGTTTAACAACCACAAAGCATGGACCTCGTGTTTAATATTTTAATTAAATCATCAACATCACTACTAAAAAATTATTTATTTCTTACAAATTTTCTTATAAAAAATAATTTAAATTTGTAAAAAAATAATCTCTTTCAATTTTTATAAAATATTTATAAAAATATTCTCATAAAATGAATTTCTAGTGTTGCATGTTGAATAGTTATATCTATAGATATGAAATTATAGGATTAACTCTTAAATGCATAAAAAAAAACATCAACTGCTAAAGCATTTTGTTGAACCAAAACTAACACACACAAAGAGACAAAAACTAAAATAGGAAATGGGATTTAAATATCGTGGTAATCCTAGTGTGTATTGATCCTGTAATGTTAAGTATTTCCTTTGAGGGTATATATTACAAAAATGAAACTTAAAAAATTTGACAAAGCTACATAGTATAACATATTGTTTAAAGAGCGGGTGAAATTTAGATTATTTTTCTAATTTTTTTAATTGTTCTTATTTGTTTTCATATTTAAAGAAGAGGATTTTTTTTTAATTATGAAAAGACATTTGTATATTTAGATGCATGAGAAATGATAAGTATTATTAAAAATTGTTGAATTTGTTATACTATCTCAAATAATTGATACAGTAATTTTATTTTTTTATGAAAGTACATATCTTTAAAAAATCTTAGGATATCATTGATGTAATTTTAATTTAAAATTGTCTCAAAATCCTATGTGACACAAAGAATGAGTCACCTCTAACTTAAAACTTTACCTTTTATTATTGAATATCAGGAATGTAAAAAATAATTTTATATTTATATGAAAAGTCAATATCTATCTGCTAGAATTCTGACTTAAGATCAATTTTAGAATAAAAAATTGGCTTCTTTGTGAAAGAGATAAGAAAAATGCTTTTAGAATATGAAATTTTTCATGCTTAAAAAAATTATTAAGGGGTTTATAGTTAAAGATTTTCACTGATCCATTTTGATATATTATCCACATAAAAGACTTGACATGTCCGTTGGACTATGTTAATTTTATCAATATTTTTCTTAATAATTCTTGACATTATTGTATAGTCAATTGAAAATTTGATGGGAGCATTCCTAAATAAATGACTTTAATAGGGTTAACATTTTTATTGAGATTGAAGAAAAATTGAGCCAAATATTCCAGATTTTGCTATAAAAGATTTACTAATTTAATTTGTATTTCTTCTT